CAAGGTTTCCCAGCTGATGAGGTCCATTCCTAAGGCCTTCAGATCCCACTTGCAGATATCCTTGTATCGCAGCTGTGATCTCCTTCTGGGGCAGTTTCCCTGCACTAATTCTCCATACAGGAGATATTCTGGAATCCGACCATCAGCCATTCTCACGACATGCCCAAGCCAACGTAGACATTGTTGGGCACCCAGCCATGCATGCACATGAATCATGCATCCACGACGCAAGACAAACTGTAATCACTACTTGCAAGTACATGTACATACAGCTAAATAGAATGGGCAGAAGCACCACAATCAGAACCTGGTGTGTGTGTGTGTGTGTGTGTGTGTGTGTGTGTGTGTGTGTGTGTGTGTGTGTGTGTGTGTGTGTGTGTGTGTGTGTGTGTGTGTGTGTGTGTGTGTGACCAATTTCTACCTGCATAGTGATGTAAAAGCTTGTAGATGTAAATGATGGTAACATAAATAAGTTTCCTGAAAAGACTCCACATTATAGGCCTTAACTGCTTATGCTACATCTCCTTCCTTATTAGAGCAACTCCATTTTTTCTGTGTTTTTCATTTCTATGGTAAAACATTTTGCAACTGTCTGATTGAAAATGCCCTATTCCAGTCCAGTTGAGTTCACTCACATTAGATACTGTAATGTTTAAATGCTCAATTTCTTCCTTTACAGTTTTCAATTTACCTTGATTCATACGTACGTACGTACATACGTATGTGTGTGTGTGTGTGTGTGTGTGTGTATTTGTTGGGGGTTTTTCTCGACCTGGCATTCCCTTTGAAAGCTCAAATATTGGCTTTTGCCTTGGAGTGCTTTTATCAATTCTGGTTGATTGCCCAATTGTGCCCCTACCTGGATAAGAAATGCTTACTAACAGTGATTCAAGCATTGGTAATCTCAAATATAGATTGCTGTCTATGTAGGGCTGCCCTTCAAAGTCATGTGGAAATTTCAGCAGGTCCAAAATGCAGCAGCCAGACTAATTTCTAAGATTAGCAAATTCAACCATATATTCCCAAGTCTTGGTGTAATTTCATTGGTTCCCTGTCATTTTCCATGCTCAATTCAAGGTGCTGGTTGTGGCCTATAAAGGCCTTAACTGTTTAGGACCTTGATACTTGTCAAAATGTCTCTCCCAGAAAGGAGTGACCTGTTTCACTTGCTCTTCTCAATCCATGATTCTAAATGTGGCCACATCAAGGGAGGCCAGAAATAGAGCCTGTGCCCTGAGCACACTCCTGTACTGCAGTGAGTCCTGGATCCTTTGTGCATGGCAGGAGAGGAAGCTGAACAATTTCCATATGCATTGCCTCCGACAGATTTTATGTATCACCTGGCAGGACAAAGTTCCAAATAGAGTAGTCCTAGAACGAGCTGGATTTTTTAGCATGTATACACTACTGAAACAGCTACATCTACGTTGGCTTGGGCACGTCGTGAGAATGGCTGATGGTCGGATTCCAAAGGATCTCCTGTATGGAGAATTAGTGCAGGGAAATCGCCCCAGAGGGAGACCACAGATGCGATACAAGGTCATCTGCAAGTGGTACCAGAAGGCCTTAGGAATGGACCTCAACAGATGGAAAACCTTGAGATCTGAGCGTTCAGCCTGGAGGCAGGTGCTGCATCATGGCCTCTCCCATTTTGAAGAGACCCTTGTCCAGCAGGCTGAGGCCAAGAGGCAGTCCCGAAACCAGCAAAACCAGGGAGCTGGACAGGGGATAGATTGGATTTGTCTTCAGTGTGGAAGGGATTGTCACTCTCGAATTGGCCTTCTCAGCCACACTAGACGCTGTTCCAAGTCCTCCATACAGAGCACATTACCATAGTCTTTTGAGACTGAAGGATGCCTATGATGAAAGCAAAGAAGAACCCTCCACTAGAAGAGTCCTAATATTTATCTGTGATTACAAAGGCAAGCTAATACAATGGAATGTTTGAGTCCTATACAGGATAAATTCATTGAAAAATACATATGTACTTGATGGGGGGAGGGAAGCATGGCCTATGCCTGATTCCCTCTCCCCACATCCACCCAAAAAGAAGCTTACAAGATGTCACTCTTGTGAAATGCAAGGAAAGTTTGCCATTTCATCTATTTCTTTGCTTAGTTTGGAAAAGAGGGAAAGATGCATTTATTCATAATTTCATTTGATGGTCCATTTAAAGTCACCATTTTAGCACATACAGAGTGGAAAATACAATAGAAGAAAGCAAATATTGACAGATTGCAATGTCAGCTGATAAAACTCACTTCTGGCATGCTGATTTAACTGCAAATCATCCAGATACATTGATTCCACACCTCTTGTGCTATGGACCTCCTGCTACTATATCTTTGGGTTCCAAAAACCTGAAGGTAAATAATAAGGGCATTCAAGCTTCCACCTCCAATTATTTTTTCAATATATGCACAAAGCAGACCATGAAATACTGTATGCATCTAAGAAAGAAAGAAAAAGCCATGTAGTTCTTGAATGAAATCCAAAAAGGATAGAGCAGTTCTTTGTCGGATCTGCTTTGTTTTGGATTCCTGCATTGAGCAGGATCTTGGACTGATAGGCCCCCTTCCAGCTCAATTATTCTGTGATGCTATGACCATTGAAATACCAAAAGCAGGGGAGCTTTTGAGTCCTGCAGGACTCTTCATCAGACTGGCATCACAATGTTCTGCAGGAAGAGGAGCATAAAAATCTGCAGTCTGAATATGTGGAACTTTACCAAGATCCCTCACTGATTCCTGAGCAAACATAATATAAAAGGAGAGGTTGTTTTACGGACTGATAAGTGGTGAAAGTATAAAAAACAAAGAGCATGAATAAATGGTCTATCTTGTAATTTATTTGGCAGCTAGACCTCTGGTGAAGAAGACACTTAGAGAAGAGCTAGCTGATGCAGAGTAAGCTCAGGATCCTATCATAAATTAATGCAATTATCCCTTTTTAGACAGAGCAAGGGAAAGGAAAAATCAGGGTGAATCACTTTTGTCTTTTGTGGAAGGCTTGTTTTATACTTCCCAACCACAGGGAGAGGAAATATGTCAGCCTTGAAGCTGGTGTACGTTTTCCTCCATCTTCTCTGCCAACTGACTAGTTGTGGCAGGCCTTTCCAGCAGAGCTGCAGAGAGGCAACAGATGATGGACCTCCCACTTTGAAGGAATGGGAGCCTTTAGTGAATTCACTGGAAAACGGATTGCAATAAGTGGGAATATACAGGGAAGAGATTGCATTGTAGCTGCTAAACTAAGCAGCAGGTACCAGAAAAACCTGGAGTAAATAGACCGAGGAGTCTTCCTCTGGTGCCGAATATCAAGAGATTTTAGTTTTTGTTTTGTTTTGACATTTTCTCCCTTTTTTTCCCTTCTTGGGAATGCTACAAATTTATTTCTTGAATGGAGTTAGCAATAGGGATGGGCATGAACCACTGGTTTGTTTTTTCAGCTGCCCAGAGCCTCACTTCAAGGCCCTCCTCCTCCACTGGGCACCCATGCAGAGGCAGCAGCTTGGATTCCCCACCCCACCTCCTCCAGGCACTGGCTCTGAGTGGGCAGTCACTGGAGGAGGTGAGTCTCTGAAGCACTGCCTCCTCCAGGCACTGGCTCTGAGTGGGCACTCACTGGAGTCGCTGAGTCTCTGAAGCACTGAAACCTGTTCGGGTGATAAATGAACCAGCATGAACTGCCAAACCCACAATGTTTTTTTTTGCATCCACTGGTGTGGATAGAACATACATGGCAGGAAAAGCACAGTATCACAAATAGTGTGGAAGGTTAAATACAATTCTTCAGGTAGTTAGCTGTGGAAAATAGTTGGGAGACTTTTGATCAACAGTCCGCAACACATAGTTAGGTATTTTTTAATCTAATTACTTTTAATGAACAACACTAAAGACACACACTCTACATGTGGAATGATCTAAGCTGCCTTGAGACTCGAGCCTATAG